TTTAAAAAGATTTACGCGCTCTCCCAAATATCCCATGTTGAATTCTGTGTTGCAGCTTTCTTTTGTTCTCTGTTGTAGAACTGGTTCTTCATACAGCAAACTTTACTCCAAATAAAGGAGTTCAAATTATTCAGGTCTGGCGATCTGGGTGTCCATTTAAACATCTACAAAATGTTAATCTAGTGAATGAGTGCTTGTACAGGCTGGATGTGGTAAGAACACAGTACAAGTGACGAGCTTCAAATCCATTATAATTGACACGTATATACATACATAAAATGCATGGTCATCGAACATCAACAAAATTTTTATCTGGGGATCTTGAGAAGGGTTGCACGTATATTTTCAGAGTATTTTTTTCATAATTATCCGCTAAATACAAATAGAAGTTTTCATATTTTTCACAAAATTTTCAATTTTCTTAAACTTAATACATTTTGAAAATTGAAAATGTTAATATCTACATAATTAAAATTTAAATGAAGAAAAATTAATTTCGCAGAAAAAATAAGAACTGATTGTATTTATCAACTGATTATGAAAAAAAAATTACAAATATATGTACAACCCTTTTCAAGATCCACCCTTCATTTAATTTATTATTACTCAATTATTATCGTTCTTTAATCATGAAAGTGCTTCAAAATCATCTCCAAAAAAATGGTATGGGTCCCAAGATTTATTATTAATTATTATAGCCATTTAAATTTTCTCAATCTACCACTGGACCTGACAATACAAGCAAACAATAAAAATTAAAAAAGTATTTGAACAATAAATATAAATATTTTTATTCATTAAATGAAGGAAGATATTGGTTTTATAAGTTAAACGATATTACCTTTCAGGAAATATTTTTGTGATGTCATGTATGTCATCAAATTTAGTGTGGTTATATTGTGCACACCATCAAGAAGGGTTTTATGATAACATTTTACAATTTTTTCGAAAACGGTGCAGAGTATCTTCTAAAAATTTATTTTACCCTTTCAGAAAACGTCACTCTTTTTTCAAACATTTCACTGTCTTGACAGTACTTCTCAAAATAAGATATCCTCCAAATTCCGTTCCTGAATTATCTTATTTATCATCGTTATATTTAAATTATGATTTATTAGGGCATTACTCTAATTATCTAATTTTAATTGATTTCGTCAATCCGTTTAAAATACTTATAATATATGGATATATTATATCCTATATCTCGAAAATAATTTTAAATCTATGTCTCGAAAATGCATCTTTTTAATTTTTCGGAGTACTAAACGTTTATAATTTTTTAAACTTTTATTTTTAACACTGCATGGCGTGGCAATGTTGATATTTATCTCAAAAATGATGAATACTAACGATGCAGCAAGAACCTATTCTTGGAAGACAAATAAAGTTGCCATCGAAAATTACTAATTGTAAGTCCAACTCAGAAAAGTAATCTTTTCTATATAAAATGTATTCCAGATTATCAGAAACTAAAGGCGAATTTACACGATGCAATTTGGATGTACGTCGAGGATGATTCATCAACATTTCATCCAAGATAAACAGTTCTGCCTTTTCACTATCGGTTTCACCTTAGATGAATCATCCTGAATGTAAGTACATCCAAATTGCATCGTGTAAATTCGCCTTTAAAAGTCATTTACATTTGTCACTTTTGATGATCATCTTGGAGGAATCATCCAAAGTGATAAATGTAAATTGCCTTTCATTTTTTGGTTTCACCCTTGGTGTACACTAAAGATGAAGGATGAAATATATCGATCCCAGACCAACTTTTAATGAAAGAGTCGTTCCCCGAACCGATGATTCCTACAAAGTGAAAGCCCTGTGAAAAATGTAAACCGCCACTGTTCACTTCACAACCGCCAGTCGAATATTTAAATCTGATCAAGATCTCAGATTTTCTCTCCTTGAAACCCATGGTTTTACCCACCAACAATTGAATTCCTCCGCCGATAATATTTGCATTCCTTCTTGAACGAGATATCTTGCCATCTGGCACCACTATTAGTTGTCCTTTTACTTTTCACAGATACGAAATAAGAACAGTGACAGTGCCTAGGAGGTGAAACAGCAAACTAGATGAAAATATTTAAACGAGGGTGATTACCCTGAGTGATTCGCTTTGGATGTACATCAAAAGTGATACGAATCCTGCTTAAGATTGCACATCAAATTTGAATAAAATCTTCATTGTAATTAAAAAATACGATTTTTATCATTCATTATCTTGAAAACAAATCGTTTTCGAACACGTGTTTATATGAACATTATTCATTATTTTGTGACATACGAGCCACTAATTTGATCATGTATTTCCAGTTATGCATTGTATAATGATAAAATCATCCAGAAATCTTTTTTAATTTAAATCAAATTAAAACTGTTGATGTAATAGTCGCAGAAGAAGTAACATTTATTTCATCACAGAGCACTTGCCTCATGATTTGTAACTAGTTCAGGATATTACTCATTAATAATTAGTACCGTAAAATTAATTACGAAAAAGTCAAAAGTTGTTAAAGGAAATGATTCTTACTATATGAACATGAATATACTTGTATTTTAAATTTCAAAAGTGCCTCATGTCTACATTTAGCAAGCGTAAGTAATTTTTAAAAATTTAAACCTATATGTATGTACAGTTATTATTAGAGTATTACAACGCGTCAAAAATTGAAGGATTTTATTTGTCGAAAATGGCTTCTTCTTCCAACGTAGCCTTATCCTTAGCCATAGCAAAAATCTCATTGCCGAATGTTAATGGAACTAAGAATATAAATTTTAGAATTAGAGGATGTAGGGAAAAAGTACAAAGCACAGTTATGAATTTTTAACGTATTAATTGGTCTGTAACCAGTGTTTATGTAGGTAAACTTCATTATCTTCTGTATTAGGACCTAGTTTTTCATAACATTTTATGGGGATGCTTAACTGGGTCTATTTCATATACAAATAATGTTAGAACATTATTTTATAGAACGTCTTCCACATTTCGTCTCTAAAAATCAATATTTTCAAGATCTAAAGAAAGGTTTGATCGTATTGGAAACATAGAATAATGAAAATAAATTTAAAAAGAAAATTGTTTTAAACAAGGTTTTAAATAATTAAAATAATTAATTACTCTTTTGTAAAGGTATTAAGCTAATTCTAACAAATTAAAAAAAGAACTTATCAAATGTAGTCAACTTTACAGAAGATATTTAAAGGTATAATATTATTTATTTTAAACTTCAATACTCCGTATCTCCGAAACAAAGGCTTTAGAGGAAAAATGATCTTAAATTTCAATGTGGAAAATGCTCTTTCAGTTTTCACACATGTAATGTTACGCCTTGTATAATCTAAGATATAATTATTATTAATCTAATAAACCTAATGGACGAATAAACTGTTACTATGTAAGGTAAATGGAATTGTAAAAAAAACAACTGTTTTAATAACATTTTATTATACTAAAAGTAGATATGAATTAAAAGTATCAGTACCAATGAAGAATAGAAAAAATAACAGAAATAATTAAGTATAAGTGCTCTTCCAATGTATAGAAATGTTAAGAAATTGTATTGCATATTTGTTGCTCATATATAAATTGGCTGAAATATTAGAAATATATTGACATGGAAATTAATTCATGCCGCATTTATGTGCATACCGTATGTCCACGTTAAGATAAACACAAAATGTTTACTCTTCATTGTTTATATGTTTAAAATTATTTTTCCTTCATGAACAGTACGAAATAGTCTGCTGCAAATATTTGTATTTGTATAGATTTGATATATCCGTGTTAATCGGAGTCCTTCAAAATAATTTTACAACAAATAGAAGGGAAATATAAAACGATATTTTTTTATTCTTTATTAAGTACTGAAAATTTAGAAAAGCACATAAAGTATGTATTACAAAATACAAGAAATCATATTAATAATCACAAATTCGTGAGATAACAAGTGTAAATTCTATCAAAGCTGATTTAATCCATAGAAAACTATTTATGTACTCTATTTCTACAAAATTTCTACATACGTTTAGGGCTATTCCTTTCATCGTACACACAGTACAAGGAACAATATTTCCTAAATCTGTTCCAAAGGGCTCTACGATTTTTCCTTCAAAGGTGGAATGTACAGTTTTTGATCAATTTCTCAAAAACTATTAAAGATATGAACATAAAAGTGTCGTATTCCAAGTTCCGAGGGAGTTTCATATTTTCGCGTAACTTTCCAATCAGTACTACGAAGCTGCCTTCAACTACTTTTCGCAGGGTCAATCCCCACTAAAATAGAGACCCATGAGTGAGGGTACTTACTACCCTTCCCGGAAAGTAGAAGGCGCGATGCGCCAAAGTTCACAAAGAAGCTCCTTACCGTTCCAAATACTGGAATACTGGAATATAAAATCTTCTTCGAAAAATGCAAAATTAGTTTGTTCTAATTTCTTTAAAATTAAGAACAAATATTGAATTTATTCATTCGATTTTCTTTCAATCAAATAAATAAAAATTTTGAAAAAATTTTCATTTATGCTCCCCTCATGGTTTTACTTCTAATATGTAAAAGAAAACTTAACATTTAACAGTTAAGTCCCCTCAGAACCCTTATAATTTTAACGTCACTGGTTGGTTTTTAATCATGCATTAGCTGTAGATAGAAGAAAGAGCATCAAAAACTATGTTTCACGTTCAATCTGTGAAGCAGCACATAAAAATCCTCTAAAGAAAAATCGTCATTTATTTAATTTTTTTATTTGAACAGACGAATCAGCCCTGAAAGTATGCGGCAATGTCACAGTTACACTCATTAATGATGACTGAATTATTAAATAATCTGAATGGTAGGTAATGCTTGAAAAATCCACTGTTTCATCTTACATGAATCACACATTTATAAAAGCTTAACAACCTAATCATATGTATGCTTAATATGTTGTTGACTTTTGTCACTTATCATTTGTACTTTACATCTATGTAACAACTGTTTAAAAATATTTTGTCCTTATTTCAGATTTGCTGGTAACTGTTGCCTCCAAAATTCTTGCCTAGCATTTAAGTATTCCACTGTCTCCTTTATGTATTTTTCGACTGTGGAATCGTTTCCTTTATATTTACATTTTATATTGGGATTGTGCATCAAGTTATCCAAATAATCTTTATCTGGGGCTAGCTCTCTAAGCAACCTACTCTTCTTCAAAGACTTGTTGGTTCCTTGAGGTGTAGTCCTATTAGCAGACTTAGGAGTTGGATCTTAAAACAGAAGTGATAATTACGTAAATTTTATATTAGTAGTAAAGCGAATATACACACGAAAAATGACAATGTTTGTCGACTAATCGCAATAAGTGTTGAAGTGTTACATACGTTATTACCGGATATTATTCCACCTTTGAAGATTTTTTTTTCTAAAATTGTCTTCAAAATTAATACTACTGCTAACTTCAGCAACAAAATAAAAAAGGAAATTATATTCAGTGAATAGAAAAGACGTTTTGTTACAATTATTCATTTTTAAATTAAATATCGTGGACTAGCTGCATTGTGTGCAAGATATCCTTTTGTTTTCAGTTTTCAAGCATGTTTTTCAATATTATCATTATTATTTAGACTTTCACATTTATTATTTGAAATTCTGAAAATGCTTTATGAAAAAGTTAAGTGTAGAAGATAGGAAATATTTTTCATTGACTCATGGATCACTTTCCTAACAACGCTTCTATTCCGACAGTATTGTAGAAACCTTGTAACTAATACGTCTTGTTGTTCATATGATTTAACTTCTGATTTTATTCTGGTTGTTAAAAACAAAAGAAGTATTTAATTTTGATGACATCGATGACGTTAGGAGTGTTACTGATCCAGACTAAATATAACAAGCAATTAATTCCTTAGTCCGGCATTGTAGAAAGTGCATAGATGTTGAAAAACATTGTTTCGATTATTTACTCTAAGTTTAGTTAATCCAGATAGTAATTACATCAGAATCTTAATTTTTCTGTTTTAAAATAGTTAAATGTTTCATGTCTATCAATCGTTATTTTAAATGATAAAAAAAAATTCAATCGTGTTCATTTGCATCTATGAGAATTATAACAAAATAATAACATTAGCGATTAGTGATTTGCACATTTTTGCCGCTTTTTAAGAACCACTAATTTGTAGGTACTCGTATCAGATAAATTATATCAAAGAGAGATATAAGAGATACGAGAATTTAACAAGGTTGCAAATTATTAACTAACTTTAATGTAACTGAATCAGCGATTCATTTGATCAGAATTATACAAGGTGTTTAAAAGATATGAGCAGGTATAGATAGGTATGGCCACCCCTTCTGTGCAGTTCAATTGACGTGGAAAACTCAAATTTGGATTTTGTTGATCTTTTAAAACAACACTGTGTTCTAAATTGTTGTGAATTTTTCGAAAATGATGGTTGAAAAACAAATGAAGTCCAAACGAAATGGCCGCTGATGCTAACTTTGTTAATTTAAATGGAACACCCTGTATATTTTTACATATTTGGATAGAACGTTCCCTATCGAACATAGTCACTTAGGGTTTGTTGGGTCCATTTCTGACAATAAGCGAGATACTATTAAAAATCGAAAAGAAGTTTTTTTATTAAGAAAATAAGATATCTTGTAACAATTGTTAGACATCTTTCAGGCATTTCTGCCTTTTTCCAATTACATAAGGATTTACAGATTTGGTTGTAATATATTTTGACATATCGGACATTGATATGGTCCAAAATGCGTATAGGTATTTTAACTAAATCTCACTAATTAGGCCGTGAGGGGCCTAATTCATGGACAATGTTATATGGCAGGCCGTGACAGTGACAGGTAATGTCATGATAATATTGCTATTGTTTGACAGTATGTATTACTATTTAATTAAAATGGGTTACACAGAAGTAGAAAATTTATATAAAGTTCTTCTCCATTTTCTATATTTTAATTCCAAATAATATTTCAATTTTCAATTCATAAAAAATCGTGCAACTTTTGTATTTCACATTTTTTTAATAACTCTTAAAACAAAAATGTTAAAGGAGGGGTCAAAATATAGTGAATCACCCTGTACATACTATTTAACTTAAAGTCACTAATCATGTTGGATAACTATGTACGTAACTACTACATACATAGGCATTGCGTTTTTCTTAAATATGCATGAAATGGGTACCAAATAAACCTTATGGGACTTATCCACGACGCCCATTTTCAAAGTTGTGAATTCACAATTAAATTATGAATCGAATGAATGATATTCAATACAGATTTAAAGATAAATTAAATTAAATTTTACTATTCTTATTTGCCAAATTGGAGAACTAATTTTAAAGATTATGTACATACAGGGTGGTCCGAATTTTATGCAGGAAACTTCGAGGGCAGATTGATCTGGTTAAAATAATATGTGTTTGCCCTACAAATATTGGTCTGGAACAGCCCCGTTTTAAAGATAGAGGGTGTAGAAGTTGTTAAAAAAAATGATTTTTTACAAAAAAAAAACTACGCCACTTCATTTTTTATAACTCATTTAAACCGTTTTATATTCTAATGCACAAAATACGTAAAAAAGGAAACTTTAATTTTTTCGCTAAGATTCGCTGTTCTCAAGTTATTCATACCAATACAATCCCCTTGTGGCAAACACTTCTAACCATACTCGTAATATTACAAGAATATTTATGTTTATGCTTAAAAATAAGTGCAATTTGTAAGCACATCAACAAAATTATTTACACTACTTTCTACACCACCTGTGAGGTAGTGTTCCTGACGTTTTTAGTTTTCCCTGGAGGCCTAATACTCCTTACAAATAAAACCAATTTAAATCAAAATAATAATAAAAATATATTTACCAAGCAACAGCAACTAAACAAGAAACAAAATTAACGTTACGTATTTACAACAATTGTTCAGAATGCGAACCAGCCACATCGATACATTTCTGACATCTTCTATTAATGGAATTAATTGAAGCTAATATCATGTGGTGGTTTTCTTTTAATTCATTATACCCATCTTCTATTCATTGCAGTACTTGTAGTCTTGTATTTGTTGGAGTAGAATAAACTTTACTTTTCAGATAACCCCAAACATAGAAGTCCAGGCGGTTTAGATATGGAAATGTGGCTGGCCAAGACACTGGACCCTCTGCACCATTATAGTTTACATTGGCATTTGGTCTTCTACCTATGCATCGCCCCATATAATTTTTATTAAGCCATTCTTATATTATTCTCCCAGCATGCACAGGAGCTCCATCCATTATATCCAGCTATTTTGTCGTATATTTAATGGAACATCCTCTAATAATTCAAATACGTAGATGGTTTTGCAGAATGTTAAGAAATGACTGGGAATTTAGACAGGGTGCTTACAAATTGCACTTACTTTTAAGCATAAACAAAAATATTCTTGTAATATTATGGTTAGAACTGTTTGCCACAAGGGGATTGGTATGAATAACGGCGATTCTTAGGGAAAAAATTCAAGTTACCTTTTTTACGTATTTTGTGCATTAGAATATAAATCAGTTACAATGACTTTTTTTGTAAAAAAGGGGTGACCCATGTCCAGTTGTACATCACTGGTTGAACCTTTAAAGTTCATATTTTAGAGAATGTAAGGCCTACTATCATACATTATCTGTACCAAATTTTATTGAGATCGGTTAATAGATTCCCGAGATATAAACAAAAAATATTTTATTTTTAACAACTCCAACACCCTGTATCTCTAAAACGGGGCCGTTCCAGACCTATGTTTATAAGGCAAATACCTATTATTTTAAGGAGACTCTATCTGCCCTCGAAGTTTGCTGCATAAAATTCGGACCACCCTGTGTATTATTATCCATCTTATGCATATTATCGAACAGTTCATTGCTTGAACTGTAGTTTTTTCCCTATTTTTTAGACATACGCTTACAAGTTAATTTTGGTTACTTACTTATATGCTCGCTTTTGTTACTAGTACTCTCTGAGACAGACTCAACAGTCGCTGATGATTTCTCAGAAATATTGCTGATACTCGCAGCACGAGATCGTATTAGATCTGAAAACGAGGACCCTATGGCGTTTTCTATGGCCTTTTGTGCCTTGTGGACTCCTAGTTTGAATTTCTCATGGTCAGGTCTTATATGCAAACCCCTATGGAAAAATACTAAACTTTGTTCAAATTCTCCAAGATAGTACAGTGCCTCTGCTTTTTGATATATCGCTTTCATGAAATGCCTGTCGACTTGCAGAGCGGTTTCGGCATCTTTCAAAGCGTTATCAGGTTGGCCTAGTAGGATGTAGCACTTGCTTCTGGCAACTAGAGCATTCTTTTCAGCTGGGTTGAGCTCAAGCGCCTGAAAATTAGAGAAACATTAGTGTGTGATATTGATTGTATGAAAATATTCAGTAGAGAACAACACATGTAGAATATTAGATAGAGAGTGTACGTAATATAATACTAATATAAGTAAAAGCTTGATATTTATATATAATAAAATATGTTTCTAGCACGTGTAGAAAATTGAAGAATATGTTTTTCTAATACATTTTGATGAGAAAAGTTGATGTAAACTTATGTCCGCAGGATCTTTGCTTCTGGGATGCACGACATTAAATTTTTGAGCAATGTCACAGAAAAGACAAATAATATTAAATTACTAACACTTGTAGAAAATATATCATGCCCCTTTTTTGAAAATGTATTCTATGTCTACGGATTGTTTTGAAATATTAACTGAATTTTTTGATGAAAGACCAAGGACATATATTTAAAAAAAAACTATTTTTGTTGTTTTAAAAATAACACTGGCTGTGCAAATTGAAAGTAATTGGAAATCTAAAGATGTTTAGTTTGGATGACAATGTATGGTGGCACTAAAAGCTTAAAAAAATTTTTATACATGAACTTATTATACCTACATAAACTTAATAATTTCATTATACATCCTACATTTAAGTTAGTTCTATCTGTTAAATTGCTATTATTTTCTAATTTATTTTCAATAATATTCAATGTTTTATAAGCTATATTGTCCGTGGTCTTATCTATAAATAGCTAAAATAACTGTGATACATTTATGATAAATAGATATTTATTAAGAAATTTTTTGCTGAAATAGTATTTTATGAGAACAGAATAGTACTCACGTGTTCCTTGGAAGACATTAATATTTTCATTAGAAAAATTTATAGAATATGTATATCTTTGCATTTAGTTTGGACACAAAATAGTTCTACCATTGGTTATTTAATCTATATTCATCAAGTATAAGCAATGAAATAGGAGCAACTGGATTTTTAGGAAACTCATTAATTAGACTGTATAAATGGTATTTCCTCTACATGGTTGTACATTTACGTCACAGATTTATAGATAATTTATATAAAATTAACGACTTGGGTTAAGTTTACCTTTTTCTTATTTCCGTAAATACATCTCTTAAAACTACTGTATTTTACACACGTAAGTTATCTCAGTATTTCTTGTCAACATTAAGTTAGGTTAGGTCAAGTTAGGTTAAGTTTTTAAATATAACACATGCATAGAAAAACTTTACCTTGCCTGATGATTTCTACACAGTGTTAGGTTAGGTTATATAAAAAAACTTAAGAATAACCTTCTTAAGTTTTTTTATATAACCTAACCTAACACTGTGTAGAAATCATCAGGCAAGGTAAAGTCAAGTTAAATTTTATTTATGTAACACATGTAAAAGAAAACTTATGTATACCTGATATTTTTCTGCAAAAAGTCAGTTTGGATTTAATTTTTTATGTAAAGGAAGATTTAACCTAACATAACTAAAATCTATGTAAATAGATAGGTTAGGTCAGGTTCAGTTTATTTCTTTTGTATAACTTAAAATTATATTAGGTCAGCTCTATTGTAAAACGACATAACCGTAGAAAACAACTGACTAGAAATTTATATATTATGCTCTGATTAAATTCAGGCATAATAAAATCAGTTAAATTTATCTCATTAGGATATATCAAAGTTTCTGTTGGAGACTTTCTCTGTACTATTACATTTCTGTAAATATAAATTAATGACAGTCAATGATTACATTAAAGATTAAACATAACATTTTATAGCATTTTTCCCTTGTTCCCTTTCCTAAAATTAACGTGTTCTAATATTTCCCGTTTAGAATGCAGATAAATACTGTTTCTACGATATTTTCCTTTTTTTATAAAAAATATATATTATTTTTATATAGACCAGACACCTTGATTTTACATATTTGATTAGAGAAACATTTTCAACGAAGAGTATACCTACAGGGTGTGGCGTGTATAATCTATAAAAATTAAACTACAGCTTCCTAACAATATTTGTAATAGAAAAGTCTTATACAAAAAAGTTCTATTTTTGCGGGTTTTTTTTCGGAAATTAAAGTTCAATTATGGATCAAAATATTTTCTCTTGAACGGTCCTGTCCGTGTTCTGTACGATGAGTTACGAGCTGTAGACTTGCCGCGTAAACAAATCGTCGTTGAAAGATAGAAAGATATTACTCAATTTTTTGGGAAATTTTCAGTGCAAAAGTACAAACTAAGAAAAATAGATATTTAAAAAAAACTGATATTTTCTTATTATAATAATTGATAGTAATTACTATCTTAAATGCATTGTTGTTACTGCAAGAGTTCGCAAACAAAACCATATCCATAAACATATATAGCTGCCAACTGCGTGCACTAAACACACTCCATTAAAATATGGAACAAAATGAAATAAAACTTTCTATTTCTAGAGAAAATGTTTAAATTGATCCCCATTAGCGCGGATACAGCCATGGCACCGACGCCCCCAATTCTGTGTCAGCAGCTTCAAGTATACGGTTTCGCAATTCTTCCACCGTAGTAATTGGAGTATTGTAAACCAAGGACTTAAGTGACTCCAAAGATAAAAGTTCATTGGATTTAGATCGGGTGACCAAGGTGGAACAGGACCAAAGCGTCCAGTCCGTTGAGGAAACATTTCAATAAAAAGTCTCGTTACTTCTCGAGACGTTGAGGAGCCACGTTGTAATGCCACATCGACCAATAATTCAGGCAACCGGTTCTCCAAAAAGTTAGCATATGTTGGTCCATTTAGTCGTCCTTCAAAGAAATAGGGACCCACAAGTACATCGCCTATTATGCCAGCCCAAACATTTACCGAGAACCAATATTGAAAATGACTTTCCCTAGTCGCGTGAGGATTTTCATCAGCCCATATGTGCATATTGTGGAAATTCACTTCATCACGGGTAAATGTCGCCTCATGTGTTACGCAAACATAAGCAGGAAAGTCTACACCATCTGCAAAAAGACATTCGTTGATCACAATCCGGAGGTAAAATCTATTGAACTGGTTGCAGATGATAGGGGTGTAACAGTTGGCGCCTTAAGTGCGATATACGGTACGAGATGAGGTTCCTAGTTGCTGTGCGAGTCGTCGAGAACTAATTGTGGGGTCTTCGTCAAGATTTTCCAACACGGCATCTTCAGCATCAAGGTTCACTTGCTGGCCAAGTCCTTCTCCTCGAGGAATAACCCGTATCTCGCAGCCGCTGAATGCAATGTAGGATTGTATTCGCACATGGGGGTGACGTTGTGGCCATCGTTCCCGGTACAATCTAGTCGCCGTGAGCGCATTTTCTCCGGCTGCACCACACACTAACACCATATCGACACGTTCGGAAATAGTAAATGCATTGTTTTCTCGGTTCATTGTAAAACTAGTGCACAAACTAAAAAATTAAGCAAAGTAAGAAATAAGAATCTTGTTTTTAATTACGTAATCGGCACGCTATTCTTATTTTTTACTTATTTATAAAAATTACACTGTAACTATGGTGGAATTACAAAATAAAAACTTTTATCTGGAATCTTTCACTTTTTAACTCTGATGGGTCTATGGGCGATGCTTAATATTTAATAATTAAGTGAGTAATGAATTCAATACATATACAAAATCAGTTGACTGCATAAATTTTTAGACAATATAACCTTTTATTATTACTAGTATTAGATTATACCGACTTAAATTATAAGGTTGCATCTCGGGTCGCATAAAAACATTTCCAAAGTTTTTAATAAATAACACAGGGTCGGCCTTCATTTTCGTTGAATAAATGAATTTTAATTTACAAAAAAAACGCGAAGATAGAACTTTTTTGTATAAAACTTTTCTGTTACAAATATCATCAGGAAGAGGTAAATTAATATAGATAAAACACACAACACACACCATACAGAGAGGGGCCGGGAAAAACCAAAAAAAATTCTGATTCAAGCAAATGACCAGGACTAGCACCTATATTGCTGGCCCAAAAATCAGTATAAAATATCAGTTTTAAATGTGATATACATAATGTCTGCAAAATTTTTTCCTCCAAAAATGTCAAAGAATATAATTCTTAATTTTCTACACGTGCTTAGGAAAGATACTGCATTTTGTTAAGATGAAAACATTTTCATATGTCTCGTAAAATAAATATATTGTACTGCTAACTCATCAAAGAAAAAAGACGAATGAAAAAAACATTATCAAATGATTCAAGGATCTTCTATCTATAGATTTCTAAGTATAGATGCGATAAATTATTTGTTTCCATTTTATGTATTAACTCTTTAAAAATTACTGACATAAAAGTAAATATCGTACAAATATGCTCGTGAAAATATTTGTTTTGTATAAAACATATATTAATAAAATGTTTCTTCTTTGTTATAGATTAATCTGATTTAATAATTATTTAATAAACAATTTGGTTGTTCTTATCAATTAACAAATCTATGGATGATTAAATTATATCACTTTTTGGATAACCTACGCTTGGGTATGCGTATATCTATCTATGTGTTACATATACATATACTCTCTTTTCTGTATGTTTACATAATATATGTTCCACCACAAATAAGTAATAATGATTTAGAGTTTTTTCTAGAATCTTTTGAATATAATCTTGTTGATGTTAAAAATATATTAATTTTAGGTGATTTCAATGTTACTCATTTTATATCTGCTAACTTAAATGATTTCAAAACGAGATTAATTTCCGAATTCCTTCAGTACAATGGATTCCAGCAGTTCAATACTGTCACTAATCTNAAGGCGAATGAAAAAAAACATTATCAAATGATTCAAGGATCTTCTATCTATAGATTTCTAAGTATAGATGCGATAAATTATTTGTTTCCATTTTATGTATTAACTCTTTAAAAATAACTGACATAAAAGTAAATATCGTACAAATATGCTCGTGAAAATATTTGTTTTGTATAAAACATATATTAATAAAATGTTTCTTCTTTCTTATTGATTAATCTGATTTAATAATTATTTAATAAACAATTTGGTGGTTCTTATCAATTAACAAATCTATGAATGATTAAATTATATCACTTTATGGAGAACCTACGCTTGGGTATGCGTATGTTGGTATGCGGTAGCTATGTGTTACATATACAGGGTGCAGACTTTAACTGGATTAAATTCACTACCAGGGAGCTGAATAATTTTTCGAAAAATTCCCGAGACACCGCAACGTTTGAATGTAGGTATTTATGTATACCTTTTTCAAACAATATGCTAAATGTATGGGGCTACATTTCGCATATTGCATATGGATTTTTTTGTGAGGACATCTCAAAAGTAAGGTTTACATTCAAAAACCAAATAACATTGATGAGCTAAAGGAAAGAATAAGAGATGAAACTAGGGCAATAACACCGGAAATGTTACGTAATGTAAGGTACGAAAGCTATCCCAGAGTAGGATGTTGCCAACAATTAAATGGTGCACATTTTGAACAATTGTTACGTTGAAAAGCAATAAACTTAACAATTACATTTTAATGTTATGCAACCCCTTGAAAAATTATAAATGTGAGATCAGTACGCTTGGATTCGCTTTTCTGTCACCTTTCTAATGAAGGGTTACACGCCATATTGTTGCATTTGAAACAAAAAGTTGGGGGTGGTTTCCGCCCTCCTTGAAGGGCTCGGGAATTTTTCGAAAAATTATTAAGCTCCCCGGTAGCGAATTTATTCCAGTTAAAGTTTCCACTCTGTATACATACATATCTATGCTGATGTACGAAGAATTTACTGCAACTATAATAATTAAAAAAATATTGATAGGAAAAACGTTTACCAAGATGAAGGGTGTAAAAGTATTTTATAGATTGCAAAATTATTATAAATTATGAATTTTTAAGACTTCTACCAAAACTTTATCGAAAGCAGGATGCCATAATCTTGTAACATGCACCGTTTACTGATTTACAGCGTAGACAAAATTTTTACATTTCTTGCAAGTTGTATCTAAAAATGTCATATAATGTATATAAGTACTTTTCATATACATATTTCTGCAATATAAACAATTAAGTAATGACTAAAAGATGAAACAAAAATTACAGTAAATGTTAGAGATTCGAGAATAAATTTCGATAAATTCATATTCATTATCTCCTCCGCATTTCTAAAATATTTAATAAAACATCTCTTAGGATTTATGCTGCATTACATAAACTTTGTAATATAAACCAGCGCAAGAAACAGTCAATTTCTATTTGATAAATTGAGTTTTCCGATAAAAAAAAATTCATATGGAAAGCATGTTAACTTTACTGTCCATCTGTGCCTATCCAATGCCCTTTGAAATAAGAATGATATTAATTTAAAAACACTGGAAAATTATCAAAAAACTATAAAGTAAAAAAGTATGTAAGTAGGGTAAAATAAATTAAAAGTGACCTAAATTAATTTCCAAGTTATAATAACTTTTGCTGTTTAAAAAGAAAAATTAAATTGAAATAATTAAACAGTAATTTTTTGAAAACTTTAGTTGACATAGCACAGCATAACACCAAAGTATGGGTATAAAATTGAAACTTTATTAAATATTTAAAAAATAATATTTTGGAATCTTTCAAATTATTTAAAAATAATTGTTCCAAATGGTATAAAATCAAATCTAGTAGTTAATTAAACGAAAAACTCCAATTCCAAGTCGTGTAGTTTCTAGAAATACCAAGCCTATTTCGCTTGACCATTCCCAGGAAGGAAAGTAAAAAATATGTTAAAATTACTCGCCAATTTTAAGTGTAGGTACTTTCCCTGTTTAAATTCTATTTATAATTTAAGACAGTTCATAAATATACTTTTCCATATTCCACAACTATAAAATGTAAACAAGAGGGATATAACCTTTGAAATAAAATCTGTGGCAATTCGGAGGTCACCCCTACACATCTCGTAATTTCCTAAAGCCAGAAACGTCCCAGGTTCCGCTTCCTCCGGGATCTGCAAAAATTTTGACCGGTCTTGTTTCCTTTTTAGCCTCAAAGATTGTTTGATGTCCTTCGAACCCAAATTAACAGCAGCCGCTCTGTCTTTGTCGCAGTATATCTCCTCATTCCTCCCGTTCTTTTTTCTTTTTCTCCTCTTTTTTTTAACTTCCTGACTCAACTGCTCTGATAGCTTTTTTGTTGCTTCCGCCGAAATAGGTTCTTGGCCGTCATTAGGTTCTGTTATAACAATAATTGTACTGTAATTTTTAAGAAAAGCAGACGTTTAACTTAACGTAAGAAAAGATGTTTAAATGTACAATTCGCCGATTTTATAATAATTGTTTTAGGACACCTTGAGATTTACATTACAAGCTAACTAAAATGACTGTTGCTTCACATCCCTAAAGGATATGGATGTCATTACTAATTGCATTATGCCTTCGTTCTTGACTTACATTTAGACTTGTTACAAAACTTTTTTAAATTCTAATTTAAAAATATAATATTGAACCCTCAGCCTTAACTTTCTGTACAGGATATTTCTAAATGCATATCTAATTTAACATAATGAAACTATTAAAAAGAAATGTATTTTCAATCCTCACAGTTCCGAAATATTTTTTACAAGAATTTTTGATATTTTATAATTTTTGGATTTTATTTGGCATATTGCAACATTGAAAAGATAAAGAGATGAAATTAGGTATTTAAAAATAGATATTTAAATTTAAACAGTACGTATTTGCGAAAAATAATGTTTTTTTCATAGATTTTGGTGTAAATTGCACAATATTGATTTTTTCAGGTTGTTTTTCGACATAAACTACAGTTATTCAATGGATTATTTTAATTAGTTGATTAATACACAAAAAAGAAGAATCCAAAAAAGACTGATACACGGAAATAAACAAATAAACATAATTTAACATTATTATAGAACGAGTGAAAAAAATCTAAATCTTGTTTTGTATCGTGTATAACCAAGTCTAAAAGTTCAACTAAGTTTATAAAAGTCGGGCATAAAATAAGATAATAATAAAATTAGAAATAATAACGAATAAGGAAGATTATAGATTCTTTACAAGAAAGAGTGAGGTTATATTTGCAATCTGATTTAGGACACTCCGAAATCAATACTAACCTTCAACGCCTTTTATTATTTTCCTTCGTACTCTGTTTTCGTGTCTCTTGTGAAAATATGTTAGTTTATCATGTTTTAAGAGCCCCCTCAAAAAATCAGTTCTAAAAAAATTTTTTAGTGTCAAATGATTTATTCTTTTGTTCATCAAATTCAATAAAAAAAATTATTAGTTTGTTGATATTTACTTTTAGAGGTCGCTCGAAAACATAGGTACACTACTTTGAATGTTAAAATAATTATGAGTTACCTTTAGACATTAAAGTATCGATTTGAAATTTTCAGAATTGAAATTTTTTTCAACCTTAATAAAATCGTCAAAAATTAAATTTTTGACGATTTTTGAAATTTTTAAAAATCCTGAGCGACCTCTAAAAAAATTGTTTTTGAGCTGATTTTTTGAAGGGGCTTTTAAAACATGATAAACTAACATATTTCAAAAGAAACAAAAAAAAATCGTTTTTTGGGACATATTTACATATTTTTAATATTTAATTTATGTTTATTTGTCATTATTTTCGTATATAAACCTCGTTCAGATTTACTTTTTTTATGTATTAACATAGAATGAAGAAATATGGCCAGCGATATTATTTAAAAGAAAAAAAAATAGGCAATTCATTCTATCAAAGGACTTCATTTGAATACTACAACCATAGTTACTAGCGAGTGTCCCAAAATTCACGCAAGATTTGTATTTTGCGCCATGTGTGCGGCAAAGTGTTTCAAACGCAAAAAAAAAACAGCGTGGCAGTTCAAGGTTATTAAAAATGGAGCGCTTCACGAAAGAACAATGTGCTTTAATTGTTGAGCAATATTTTAAAAATAATAAATAATGAAGGTTTGTCAATTACCATTCGCAATTTTCGTACAAAATACTATCGGAATAGTGCTCTCACTTTATCAATTGTGAAGAGATTAAATGAAAAATTCAAGGAGACTGTATCAGTTAGTGATCTTAAACACTCTGGCCGTCCGTGTACAAGTCGTTCAACATAAAATATCTGAGCAGTTTGTGAGAGTGTTGCTGAGTGTCCAGAAACAGCAACCGTGGTTGAGAACGGGACATTTTCAAAAGCTCTCTACAGCATATTCTCATGAAAGATTTGCATCTTCGTGCTTAAAAAGTTCAATTGACACAAAAACTGAAGGCTACTGACTACGCAGAGTGAGAGTCAGTTGAATGGATTCACAGCCCCACAAAAAAAATTGAAATTATTTTCTCCGATATCTGAGGAAATGCACTCCATGTTTTTGGGGTTGCTGAATCCGAATCCGGGGTCCGTTTAACCCCATCACGTCAGAGTCAAGAGCATCTGAAGGTCAAATTGCGGAATGACTATTAAAAAATCTGGAAAAATTTATATATATGTTTTCGTGGTCGCTAAATCTGAATCTGGGGTTCTCTTGACCTTAAAGTGTCAGAATCAAGGTCAAATAAAGGTCAGAACCCTAAAATTTGATGATATGATCATTTTGACCCCGAATTCTTGAAGAGCAGAAAATTTTACGTCCGAATATGTATTGACTTTTTTTTAGAACAGACCTTTGTAGGTCACGTGATGGTCATCCAAAATCAAATCCATTTTCCAGCTTTTGGCTGTAAATTGAGATCTTGGGTCTTTGATGAGTTGATATTTTTCGGGTCGTTGATCACGATTCTGGTATTCATTTGAGCCAATCACGTCGTAATATAACGATATAATATTTTCTTACTCCGGATTCTGAAAGAGTGAAAAATTTCATCCGTGTGTTTGCATCCAGGGCACCTCCCCGTGGTGACGGCGGGCAACGGAGTTGTCCCGCTATCCGGCAAAGTCCCTGGAACAGGACGCGTATGCCGTCATGGCAAACACAACGGAGAAATTTACGATGCAGGGGGATGGAACCCCAGTATCGGCGGCTGGTCAGGGTGGGAAAGCGGGCCCGCAGGCGTCGTCATCCAGTGACCGCGGCTCTGTTGAGGTGGCTACCTTGGCCTCACCAGAGTATAAAGCTACAAGTAGTAGAACCCATAGACATGAGCATGACAACCCAAAAACCCCATATCATTTCTGTTATGTTTGTGGTAAATACGTATTCGGATGTAAAATTTTCTGCTCTTTCGGAATCCGGGGTCAAAAATATCATATCATCAAATTTTAGGGTTTTGACCTTTATTTGACCTTGATTCTGACACTTCAAGGTCAAGAGAACCCCAGATTCAGATTTAGCGACCCCGAAAACATATATATAAATTTTTCCAGATTTTTTAATAGTCATTCCGCAATTTGACCTTCAGATGCCCTTGACCCTGACGTGATGGGGTTAAACGGACCCCGGATTCGGATTCAGCAACCCCAAAAACATAAAGTGCACCTCCTCAGATATCGGAGAAAATAATTTCAATTTTTTTTGTGGGGCTGTGTTATAGAACGGCAGCAAGTGGATGTTGATTTTTCGAACAAAATCATCTTCAGCGATGAGGCTCGCTTGCATCTTGATGGCTTCGTTAATCGACAAAATTGTCGCATTTGATATCCATAAAATCCACGAGTGGTTGTTGAGAAACAAATGCATCCACAACGTATTACAGTTTGGTGCGGATTTTGGGCTAGAGACATCATCTTCGAAAATACGGCTGGTCAGGCAATAACAGTTAACGGTACTCGCTATCGCGACATGATAATCCAGTGACTAAATTGCAAGATATGAATGTAGAAACAACATCTGGTTTCAATATGACAGTGCCACATGCCATATAGCCCGAGAAACGATTCAATTACTGTATGAGACATTTCCTGGTTGTAGAGACTGTGTCTCCCGTTTTGGTGATCAGAATTGACCGCCGAGATCATGCGATTTAATACCTTTGGACTTTTTCTTTTGGGTTTTTTTGAAGTCAACAAGCCCACGGCTACCCACGCCTTGAAAGAGGAAATTGGGCACTGTATCAATGAAATTCAGCTGCATTTATGCAAAATGGTTATGGAAAGTCTCGACAAAAGAGTAGATATGTGTCATCAAAGCTGTGGAAACCATTTACCCGATATGCTATTCCATATATGACCTTATACTGTATACTTTATAATTTTTGATTAAAAAACTATGTTTTTTATCAAAATTACTTCTTCCGTGAATTTTGGGACGCCCTTTATAAGAGGGGTAGACATTTAAAAAACAGGGCAATCAATATGAGTACTTCGACATTGATTCAACCTCAAAGTGTGCTAAATCAATAAAATTCTAAGGCGAATGTATAGGTATCAGTAAATGTACAAAAATGTATTTTCTGATACAGCTTTTTAACTCTGTTTGACTGAGAGAATAACAACATTTCACAATAGTTGCTTTTAAATATTTTTAAGGATCATTATTTTCAAATATTTGTATAGTCACTTAAGAAAATATCGGTTCACTTAATGTTCAATATTTCAATACAATTTCTTTCACAAAATAGTAATAGAATTTTTAATAGAATAGTAATAGAAAATTTTTCTACTTGTTTATTCACTTTCAGAAAAAAAGTAATGTGCTATTTAAGATACTTCTATTTATACAAAAGAAAAAGCTGCCATTAGTATACCTTCTTCTTTTTTCGCCTCCTTTAGATCCTCAGTTAAAAGTATTAGCGGCTCTTCTTCGTGTGTCTCCAGTGCCAGTGCATTAGCATTAGTCCTTACAAAGCTCTGAAATACATCAACCTCTCGTGCTAGACTTAAACGTTTTTCTTTGAAACTCAATGCAGAATCCCCCATATTCGAATCGACTTTTTACGGTGCACCTTTAATTTAGTTTTAATATGCGTGTTACACGTAAATTTTAAATTTATATTTAGGCGCACATTAATCCTGATTTATTGCTGCATTATATGCAATTTAGGGAAAACTGAGCCGAATTAGAAATAAATTTGCCGTTCAATAACAATTTTGATGCACCATTAATGGATATAATACTGTGAAAACTAACACGTTGGGCGTTTCTATGGATACGGAAGGTGTGATCAATTTTTCGTGAAGGCCCATGACACCTAATTTACCAACATATTCCAGTGCCTCTCGCTATTTTCTTCTTTGATAAAAATATCAAAATTTCACACATTTCACGAATTTCTTTCTTGGGGTCAACTTAAATATACAGGGTGTTTCAGAAAGACCTCCCGCAAATTCAGAGGGTGATAATACGACAAAAAATAAGAATTTTTTGTCTTATGAACTATATGTCCATCTCCTCTTGTTTTCAAAATACAGAGCGACAAAATAAAAATTTTTAAATACAATTTTTACGTCATTACGTCTTAATTAGTCATTTTGATATAAAGTTAGAGTTTAAAATATTACTGCAAATGTATGCGTTGTTTATGAGACATCCATCAATAAGTTTTGACATAAGCCTACTTTGAGAAAAGTCACTTATTTTCTTCACCGTAATATTGTAAGAGTTCAATTAAAAGCCTTTTTTCTCGAAAACCGTCCGCATTAGGAAGTTCTAACAAGAGTACATTATTTTTAGAAAATAAAATTGTATATTAGAAATTGGAGCCCGAATGGTAAAAAACCTAACCTTAAAAAATTAGAACCTAAAATGTAATAGGAATGTAGCGTAACTAGCGCCCTCTATAAAATATCCAAAAAATAATTAGACCAGCGTATTTGGCATCCTTAAAAACCCAGGAATACCAAATTTCATAAAAATATTTAGCAGCGTTTGGAAATTTTTGTAAAAATTCTATTTAAAAAAAGAGGAGATAGACATATAGTTCATAAGACAAAAAATTCTTGTTTTTTGCCGTACTATCACCCCCTAAATTTACGGTAGGTCTTTCTGAAACACCCTGTATAATTAAACTCATTTTTTATTTTTAGCATTTTTACGTTACTTTAAAGATAATAAATTACTTCAAATTAATTGTAAATACAGGGTGTTAATGATAAGTTTTGCCAACTTATTCTACCGATGAAAATAATCAAATTTTACCTTATAAACATTTTTGATAGGATGCTTCCCTACGGGGATACAGGATGTTAAAACCTTCAAATATTTATATTATTTTTCCTGTAAAAAAATGGTCCAATCAAGTAACCGACAATAATTCCAGCCCACCCACTTAGTAAAAATTGTTCTTGATGGTGAGTTTCTTCAATTAAATGGAGATTTTCTAAAACCCAATAATGATAATCGTGAAAATTTCTAATAGCATTTCTTGAAAAGCTAGCTTCATCTGTAAATAATATTTCACTATCAAATAGAAGATTGGCCATAATTTTCTATAAGAACCATCTGCAGAAATTTATTCGCAACGGAAAGTATCTGGGAATTAAAGCTTAAACGCGTTGAAGGTACAATAAAAAGTCGTCATCCCCAAACTAGAATATGTGAGACGTTCAACTGATTTCCAATATTTCTGATAGGTACTCAGTTGTAGATTTTCATCAGTACAATTCAAAACTTCTTCAGTAGGTACATGCAGTTCTTACAGCCCGAGTAGCACCTTTTAAATGATTATTTGCATTAACGGTACCAGTTTCCCCCAATCGTCTGGATGTCTGAAAATGTTCGCCTATCCGGTGTAAGTCTGCGCTCCTGATACATACATGTAGCTTCATATGTGTTTCCATCAGCGAAACCATACATGAAAATGGGATATCGACCAACACAGCTTTAATAAAATTTAACCATTTTTTTATATGACAAGGAGGTAACAGTAGTATTACAGATATTTCAACAATCAAACGCAGACACAAGTTAAGATTTCAAAGACGAACTGCCAAAATTAATAAAACAAAATAATTATTATCCGTCGGTCAGAATCTACTAGATTTTGAAGTCCAGCTTTTCCGCTACAGGAAATCATTTTTTATTTTTTTGCTCGACAACGGCCGCAGATAGGAAAACATTGTGAGAGACAAAAAAGATTCTAAATTTAACAGGGAATTAAACCTTAGAAAAGACCAGTGACGTACCGCAAGAAAGTTCGTATAAAATTAATAACAAAGTTTAAAAAAATAAAGTTCGGTTATTTTCTGAACAGACCTCGTATTTGGTTCAAAGATCTTAAGGTTTTGACGGACATGTTTTCAGAACAACTTTAAAACCTTAGAACAACGGGAATAATTTACATACACTGAGCTCGTAAAGTTTGGAATAAATTCGATAAATCGTTATTGAAGGGTTTTGACAGGAAATCCTCGGACACGTCAACTTTAGTTTATAAAATGTCACTTTTTTCAGCTATCGACTTTTTTTGTTGTTCTTGAGCTATGACGTCATTGGCAATTTTTTTAAATGCAATCCATATTTTTTCCATGGATTTCGATAGAGCACATTTTTCTGAGTACGAATATGTCAAAAACGTATGACCTTCAAGATGGAAGTTTTCGAGATAATAGACAGTTTAAGTTGATTGTAGACGATCATGATACGAATTTGAGCATGCGCAACGGTCAAATTCTACGTATACGTTATGTCCGATACATAACTTAAACTGTCTATTAGGTTCCAAAGTTTCAAGGATGTACCATGTACAAGGTATCGGGTGCGTCAAGTTTTTTAATAGCTTATCGAACAATTTAAGAAATTTTAGGAGTAATTTGTTTAATATTTTAAGTAATAATCAATCAACAAGAATTTTAACAAATGAAAAAAGGTTTCTGTACAAATGATAAATAATTGAAGTAAACAAGAAAATCAGAGAAAATTTTTAAAGTGACCTCCAATCACTTCTTGGCAATATCCCATCCTCCACTCCTGCAGAACCTTATCAAGAATATCTGGTTGAATGGCTCAAATTTCATTGCGAATTATGTCCTTTAATTCTTCAATGGTATTTGGTCTATTGAAATAGACTTTGCTCTTTAAATAGCCCCATAAAAAGTAGTCTAGGGGAGTGAGATCTGGAGATCTAGGGGGCCAATCGACTTGCGAGGACAAACTTCAAAATTCTGACAACTATCAAAACTATAATTTTTCCAGCGCTTCCTTGATAAATGATTAGTATTTTCTCATCGCTTGTATAATGCATGCTTGAAACTTTGGAACCGAATATATCGAAAACTTCCATCTTGAAGGTCATACGTTTTTGACATATTCGTACTCAGAAGAATGTGCTCTATCGAAATCCGTGGAAAAAAATAGGGGTTGCCATTTAAAAAAATTGCCGATGACGTCATAGCTCAAAAACAAACAAAACAAAAAAAAAGTCGATGGCTGAAAAAAGTGACATTTTATAAACTAAAGTTGATGTGTCCGAGGATTTCCTGTAAAAACCCTTCAATAACGATTTATCGAATTTATTCCAAACTTTACGAGTTCAGTGTATAATAATAATCAATGTGAAATTTGACAAATTTGGTAAAACCTATTATACTTAAACGCAATAAACTGATTCAAAGTACTCCACGAGAATTTTAATATTCAAATGATATGTAAAGATACTATGTTACTAATAATAATAATTTTTCGAAATGTATAAAAGTGAGCCGTTAATAATTTATTTAATCTCTCTTCTCCATGTAGTATATTTTTATTTCCTTTGAGCAGGCTAACTCAAAGCATAGTAGAAGATCAATACTTAATGGGGTACTTTAAACTGAACTCATACTTGAAACTTTATCAAAGCTCGTTATTCAATTCAAAACTAATTAACAAAACTTTAATGTACACTACACTGAAAAAAGATGAGTAAATTTTTATTAAAACAACAGATATCGACAACAATATTATGCAAGTTTTAACATATATGCAACTGTAAACAGGTATGATGTTCTGAAACATGCAGGAAAAACAAGAGTCAATATCATTTTTATGTTACATATAAATGTTATTATACATTTTGTAATAGAAAAATTTACAGTGGAATATAGAATGATGTGCGTTATGTTATTTTTTGCGAAATCATTAAAATGTATCTATAATAATATTTTATTATCGAAATTGCTTGTCAACTGTTGACAACTGTTTACTTGTCCCTTTATACTAAAATATCATAATAGAGTAGTTTCATTTCATACTAATTAATAATAAATAATTTAATTGTTCACAATGGAAAAAGTGGTACAAAACATTTCGTTTCAAACTATCACATCGAATGACATAGGTAGTTTACGGCAATTTTGACATTAGGACTATTTTTCTAGCAACTGTAAAGGCAAATATACGATAAATTAGAGGAATATTTTTAAGGTTTCACGGCCCATGCTCAAACTTAAGATACTATGGTTTTTTGGGTTGTTACGTCGTGACCAGTCGCCATTAGTTATAGACTTTTACTCCACTCCCTTAGCCTTAGCTAGAAAGCCACGACATGTCATGGTTGTAATCGGGCTAGGGTCGGTGGGGGCGGACCCGTTAAGCCCGACCATGTTGGTATCGATCCTTGTTGTTTATTCTAAGGCATTACGGATGAAACCGCTCATCAGACAATGGTAGTCCTAAGAGAATGAAGAAACGTACCGCTGTCCTTCAGTAACGGCATTTTCAGTATTTATTTTTCAAATGCTTCTTCCCAACTGAGGCCATTACGGAATGTCTCAGAGGATCACTATTATCTGGAAAGCGGTTCTGTCCGTAGCGGCTTTAAAACCAGCAACAAGAATCGATATCGACATAGGTCTAAGGACTCTGATGAAACATAACAGACCACTGCGAGAGAAAAACTGAATGTCATCGACTCCGACAGGAAGTGATGTTAAATTTACTACCTCTTCATATAGTGGTGGAAATAGAAATGTGGTAAGCAGCATACCGTCTCAGGAAAAAT